AGGTGGAATTGAGAGATGGAGGAACACGGTGGAAATGAAGAAAAAAGAAAAGACACAAGCACAACACACCGAGCTCACAAACACACACATCTGAAAGTGAGGAAAATTTACTCGCTGTAATAACATCTTTTTCTGAGTCTCCTGGCTCCTTTAGCACCGTGACACGTGTGACCAGATACACACACACACACACACACCAACTAATGATCTCACACACACATAGCACGTGTGTGTTTGTCTGTCCAAGTGTGAGTTTTCTCTGCTTCTCTGCAAAGCTTGTTGCTTCAGGTTTGGGTTTTCACTGTTGGATACGTCGTTCACTCCTTTTATTTTTACTGAGCTAGGCGTGGGCAGTATGGCAGAAATGTTACACCCTTTTTTACAGCAAAATTATAATTGGGATTTTATCATGATTTTTACACTTTTTTAAAATAATTGCAATGTTATAGACTGATCAAAAATAGAACCATAAAGTAAAACACAAAGCTCATTAGGATTGTGAAGTCCAACAGTTTCAATGACGTGTTTATGCTCAGACTTGTGGATAAAAAGAGGTTAGGTTAGGTTAGTTAGGTTAGGTTAGGTTAGGTTAGGTTAGGTTAGGTTAGGTTAGGTTAGGTTAGGTTAGGTTAGGTTAGGTTAGGTTAGGTTAGGTTTGGGATAGGTTATAAGCTCTGTCTTTGGTTCTCCACCACCCTGATTGAGCTCACTTGTTCATTTCTCTTTTCTTTCACGTTAAGCCGGAGTTTTAACCCTCATCTTTCCAATTAAACATCATTAAAGTTCTACGGTTGTCTGATTTGTTTACCTACAAAGACTGCAGCCAGACCACTGAGAGTCACGTGATGTTCCACGTGGTTTTTGGCTATTTGTTTGTGAAACCACTGGAATAAACCTTTTCAAACTGAACTTTTAGATATAGTTCAGAAAAACCCTGTTTGATTGTATAGTTCGCAATCAGGACCTTTAACTATAGATTTATATTTTTATTATTTCGCAGTTTACAAAATCGTACAACTATTTTAATATGTACAGCGTAATCCAAAAAAATTAAATAAAAATAATTATATAAGAACTTTTAGGCCAAATAACATTTATATTTTTATGACTTTGTGCAATATTTCAATGTGGACCAAATATAATAGAACAAGTATGTTACTGTGTTTAAACTCAGAACACTCAGATGTTTTTTTTCCTAACCTCAAATGTTTATTTTAATTTAAAAGATAAACATCAACTCTGTAGTGAAGTGCACTCTTGCTATATTAAAGCTATTTTATGAAGCACTCAAATCAGTCTGTTTCCTTTATTTGTTTTTGAGGTAGAACGCAGTTTATATCAAGCTTTTATCAAACAAAAAAAAACAACAACAAAATATCAAGAAGAAAGGTTAGTTTAAAACAATATTTGAGCTTAGTAAAAAGGGTAAAATAAAATGTTAATTTTATTAGAAACTGATGATGTTCTGTAAATTGTTATGTTATGCATTTAGTTCACCTCTTCAGATTAAACACCAAATATCCTATTAAAAGTGGGAATAAAATATAAACTTGGAGGTAAACTGTGAATTTTACCTCTGAAGTGTGACATGATTTAGCACAAACTGTAAATGTGTCTAAATCCTGGTTATCATTAAAAACTCAGATACTTTCAGGTTTGATGCCTTATTGTGAGGTAAAAGTAAAATGTTTCAGTTTCTTCTTACCGTTTGCTTTCCTTCTCATGCAAACAGCTTTTTTTAAATTAAATACGTAGGTTTCTAAAGCTGTAGCTGCATTAATAACCTGTTTTTCCTACATAAAGTTCGTTTTAAGTCCCATTTTATTCATTTAATTGGGCTGCTTTTTTTAGTTGATGTTTTAAACTCCATAACCTGACCCTTTAAATGTCTGGACACTTAAGCCACAGAGCGTACCGTTTCCATTTTTATCAATTTGTTCTCTATCTTTTCACATTATACACTGATATCAGTGCTTAATTCACCAGCTTCATGAAGTGCTAACTTCTTTACTCTTTAAAAAACAAATCAGTGTTTCTAACCTGTGTGTCCTTGTATCTGCCTGTGCAGTGACTAACTACAACAATGTGGTGGAGGCTGGTTCAGACTCAGACGATGAGGACAAGCTGCACATTGTGGAGGAGGAGAGCAGCCTGGTGGATGGGGCCGACTGCGACAGCACCCTGCCTGACGACGAGCACCCCAGCGTGCACAGCTGGGACCCAGGTGAGGCTCGTCATCATCGCCACACATCACTAATACTTCAACAAACATATCTGCAACCATCAGCTTGCTTTTACCTCAGAAATAACACCTGTGTTAGACAGAAAACTGTTTTCCACAGTATCATTTAGGAAAGTTACATGTAAGTTACGGTTTAATACAACAAGAAGAAACAAATTCTAGTTGATTTTGATTGCCAAATGTAACTGTACTCACCGTGGTCACCTTATTGTAAAATGTTCTCTGTAAATCATATGACAAGAGCATGAGCTTTCCATGGCAATGTCACATGTGCACCCACTTCAACACAGTGCTTGTGTAATTAGCAAATTGTGTGAAAAACAGCCGACAGCTTGCTGGTGAGCCTTCAGAAATGTGTTTGCGTTTAGAGAATGAAACAGCTCAGTGGTGATGTTCTGGTGGGTGTCCTGTGTTGTAGTCTGAGTTTTTTGAGGGGCTTTGCATGTTGAGCAGAGTATAACTAGTCGGTAAAGATGCCTTTTCCCAGCAGGTTCAAACAGTACTTAAAGGTATTCTTTAGTGATCCGATCACTTGTCTAATCCTATAACTTATTACAGGTCTGAACAAGTTCTTATTACTGTCCTAACAGCAGCTCATGTGGGATTTTCAAGCTGAGCAGTAGTCAGAATCTACCAAGAGATGACTAAGGAAGAAAAATGATTGACCTGATCACTGGGTTAATTACTGATGAGTTATACATTCGTACAGAAAGAGTGACTGTTGATCAGAAAAGTCATGGTCCTGATCCTGATACATGTCAGTGATAAATTCACCTACGTACCATGGACATGAGAGCGTCTAAACTAAAACGTGTAACAGTGGAACAGAGGGCCACAACTGAATAAATCACTTGCTTTTTCCATCAGGTGACGGTTCACATCTGTGTTGTTTGCCTGAGTCAGACATGGTGTCAGGAAAAGGTTTACCCTCCAGCTTCTATTATATTACGGTTCCCAGAGGTGTTTAAAGCCTTGTTGTTTTCCTTTGGCAACACAAGTTAGTTTTCCCAGACCTATACATTCTGAAAGTCTTTATTCACAGTTTCATAGAGGGAACCTACAATCTTCTGTGTTAGTGGGCACAAACAATTCAGCATTTAGAGGGAGGCTGATACTGAACACTTCTGACAAATGTTCAATGACATGCTTCCAGAATTTCTGAATTTTTGGACATCCTCAAAGACAAGGGAGAATTGTTATTTTATAATTTACACATTTCGTACATGAATCAGGATATCTGAAGTAGTTTGACTGGATCGATGTCTTCATCAGCCACTTTTATTAGAGTACTTTAAACTTAGTATTTATTTTTTGTTTTTAAACAAGCCACTTTCTCATCTGTTTCACCTCTGTTTCCCTAAGAATTGCCTCGTCTGGCATTTGACTGGTCCAGTGCTGAGCATAAACTCTTTCCTGTCAATTGTCCAAGAGTCATTTCTTCTATTTTTGATAAAGGTGGGATTGCATAATCTGTCTGGAGCTACTAACCTGTAAATATTTACAGAAATGTTTTTGAGGAGTTCTGTATCTTTCACAAAATTGATCGAAGGTAAGCAGACCTCCATCTATGTACACATCTCTAATTTTATGCTTCACAATCCATAATTTAAACCCTGAACTTTTTTTTGCTTGGTGTAAATAGTTGATTACCCCAGATGTGGGTGAATTGATTGATTGCTGGAAAGTCTCCTACATGTTTATGTGCTCTGTGCCAAATTAGGTTTTGTAGTTTTCAGGAAAAAAAAAATGTTTGTGTTTTTACATCTAAGGGGTACAGAAATAGTGTGTAGCTTATGTTAGCTGGACAGCCACATGGCAGATAAGAATAACTGAAGAAAGTGTTTTTAGATACCCAGATAAAAAAGAAGCCTTGAAGAGATTATTGCATGGATTAGTTTTTCTGCATCATTTTGGGACAAGATGTCCTTAATCTTAGCAACATTGCTCAGGTGGAAGAAAGCGTTCAAATTTTTTCATATGGAAGTTTAAAAACTTGTCACCAACGTTCTCAACATTAGAACTAGAGACTAAATGAATGCCATCCTTACCAAGTGAAAAGGCTGCAACGTTTGTTCCCAAGATGTTCAGTTCCAAAAACCACAACATCCGTCTCCTCTGAGTTTCAAAGCAGTGTCACGATTACCTTCACACTGAAAGACGTTCTTCAGATTTTCTGTAATTCAGCCACATTCTAATTGTTTGTGAAGATCACTGAGAGCCAAACAGGGGTCATATGTCAGTGTGAAGGTGGACCAAAGGATGTTGTTGTAAAAAATTTAGTGTTCGTTAACTGAAATCATGACGAAACCACATGTATATTGAATAGATTAAAATGTGAAGAGAAGAGAACCATACCACACCAGTTACTGGAGTGAACGGTGGTTTAATGCTGACTGTTCAGGCAGGAAACCAGCGCTGAAATGAAAACCGGAAGCCCCGGTCCATAAATACATGGCTCTTCAGTGCCTGGTACCCCCACTACTGGCCTACGGCTGAATCGCAGACACTCTGAACAGCAATGCTCTCCTAATGTTTATCAGTATCAGTAATCACTATTGTGATTCATTTCCCATCCAAGTCATCTCTACTTTGGCACGCTTCTCCTCCTGCGTACTTTGTCCTAGAGCTGCCATTGTAATTTATATCTGTAAAGCTCCTGTGCCAAATGATGGCTATGCCTTTTGGTGCCTGTACAACTTAAAGTTTTTGAAATATTAATGTTTAAAATCATACAATGCCAGTCAATGGAGCCTTGTATTGGTCCAATACGGCCCCTTGCTGTATATACTCAGTACTGAACCATAGTTTAATAATATTTAAACTCAGTAGTTCAGTGATTACAATACTAATATATTGTATTTTGATGTTTTACTAAAATTTTGTCCTAATATTACTCTATTGTTGTAATATTATGCAGTTCTTTGTCAACAACTGCATTGGCAATGCGGCCTCTTTCTACACACATACAAACCAACCCTTGGCAGTACCATCTGCCACAGCTCCACTGGTCTCATGGTTAACTCTATGGGCTTTCWTGTGGGAGATCTGGGTTCAAAACCCAGCTACAGCAACTTTAACAAAAAATCACTACAAACTTCATATTCTTACACAATTACCATAATTACAAACACCTGCTGACTTGACAAGCACAAATTGGTATAGAAAACACATTTGAACTTGGTCACAGTTCATTCTGCAAGTCCAGTGCTGCAGGCAATGACAATACATGGCAATGCACGCTTGTTTTTATATCGTAAAAACCCATGTCTAGTTCTAAATGGTTTTATTATGTGTTGTCATGATGTTTCAGGCATGTATTTAAACTATTTTAATCAAGACATAACAATAGTCAAACAACAGATAAGGGTCAATACTTAAAAAGGAAAACTATGAATATGGTGTGGTGCTTCTAAAATCAGTTTCTAAATGACTAAAATAAATTTCTTCATTGTAATGCTGTTGAGTTGGAGCTAAACTTGTGGCATCCTCACCTGAACAGGTCACGAGTGGTTTGGCAGCAAAATAACCTTTCAAGAGGTTATACCAAAATAGTTCATTCATAGGCAGAACCATTTAGAAGAATTTAATTCTATAGCATGTTGAAATAGTTTTCATTAGTTTGACTGGTTTTAACCCAAACTGGAGAGATAAGGTTCAGAAAAGCTTCACTAACACCTGCACAGCTACGTAGCAGGCTTTGTCTCATTGTAAAACACAGTGAAAGGAAACAGGTACTACATGCAGAGAGTTTCAAACTAAGACAGGAAGCATGATATTAAACAAAGACAATGCTAACACAGGGAGAGACCTTCAGATACAGAAAATAGTCTTTCAATCAAAGTGCCAGTAGAGAGCTTTGCAGCACTGGTGGGTACTGGAGGGGCCGCCACAAACAGCTTTTCACCCTAAACTGTGTGAAAGTGGCATCAGAGGCAGCTCACTACACAGGAAGGGCCGACGTCACGCCTCTCTCCTGTTTCCAAAACAATCGTGGGTGCTGAAGGATGCCGTCGCTCCAACCTGGACTCAAGGCCTTGCGATTACGCTGCCGGGTATGATGTCAGCTCAGGAGTTTCAGACACACGTGTGCAACACTCCTACAAGCACAAAAGAAATGTAGTCAAGAGAAAAGATCTCTGTTTCTGGGGTAGGAGGTTAATCAAGGTATTTTCCTAGATTTTGAGATACGAAAATATGTGGTGAACTTTTGGGAGGGATTTTCAGAAATTCTACCCAGTTTTCTTCAGTTTCGTTTGCGTGGTTGTGGTTGCACCAGTGCTCAACACACAGAATGAAACCACAGCACAGATCTGTGTGCTGAGCAGCCCGGGCTGTCATTTTCATCACCGTTCTCCAGCTCTACCTCCACGCATACAGAGAAAGTTAGAGGAAGAATAATGTCATTGGTTTTGGCCAGAGCTCGCGAACATTAAACACTTCAAAAGCATGAGTTACACTGAAACAGCTCAGCGGAGCTGGCTGGACTCCAGCAGCTGGGCCTGATCGGAGCTTTTTCCTTCACTCATCTGCACACACACACACACACACACACACACACACACACA